GACGCCCCAGAGCAGCACCGATGGTCCTGCAAGCCCAGCTCATGGGGCTCCATCGCTCCCCTTCTCCCATCCTTCACCCAACCCTGGGGGTGGGCAGCGGGGGGAGGAGCTGGTTTCCTGGCAGCATGAGCTGCCTTCAGGAGCCGTCGGGGCTGTTCTCCATCACCAGGGGCTTGATAGTGCTGAGCAGCAACAGCAGCTACTACCTGAAGCCCCTGGGGACCCCCGAAGTGGGCCATCACGTCATCCACCGAGCAGAGCACTTGCCCATCCGAGGTGGGACCTGTGGCCACGGCGATGATTTTGAGAGCACCGTCGCCGACATCGCTCGGCTCTTCCAGCCCATGCACCAGCGGGTAAATCCATCCGGGCCGGGGGTCCTCTGGTTGCGGAGAGGCGGAGGGCTGGGAGCGGGGCTGTCTGCACCCCTGCTGAATGCCTGGAGCTTGTGGCAGGGTGCCCATCACCCTGGCTTCTGGGCAGGTTGTGCAGGCAGATGGGATGGGAGGGGTCTGCATGGGCTTACCTGGTTTGAATTTGGGCGGGGGACCTCAAATGGACAACATGTGGGTTGGATACGGGTGCTGGGATGTGATGGGAGGTGACATTGGGAATTGTGCTGTAGCCACTCAGATTTTCCTTGTCGCCTCATGCCTCAGTTTCCCCTCTCGGCTCTCCTTCCTGAGCAGCTCCGTGGTGTCTGGGCAGCCTGACATGCCCAGAGCCGTGGGCTGCCCGCTCCTTCGCTCCTCTGAGCCTTGCTGTCTGTCTTGCAGGAGAAAAGAGATGCCTGGAGGACCATGAAGTACATGGAGCTCTTCATCGTTGCCGATCACACCCTGGTGAGTGCTGGGGGGGGGACAGAAACCTGGTCCCCAGCTGAAAAAGCAGCCCCCCTCTCTGTCTCCCCTCCCGGTGACCCTTCCCCATCCCCGTCTCTCTGCAGTACAGGAACCAGAACCTCAACCTGGGCCACACCAAGCAGCGCATCGTGGAGATCGCCAACTACGTGGACAAGGTACCGGCCGGCGAGAGGGACCTGCTGGTCCCTTGGGACCACCTCCATCGTTCCCAGTGCATGTGAAAACACCTGAGCTCAGGGCCAGTCTGGTGGTGACCCTCAGGGACTGTCCCTGTGTCATTAGGGTTAGGAGTTTAGATGGCAGATGCGAGCACGCGGTGGAAGATGCTTTGCCGCCCGTGGGCTGAGCTGCAGCAGCGAAGCATGTGCTGGTTCTTGCCCTACTGTGGTGATGAGCATCATTCGTAGAGTCACAGAATAGTTTGGGTTGGAAGGGACCTTCAAGCCCACCCAGTCCCACCCCCTGCCATGGGCAGGGACACCTCCCACTAGCCCAGGTTGCCCAAAGCCTCATCCAGCCTGGCCTTGAACCTCTCCAGGGATGGGGCATCCACAGCTTCTTGGCATGCTTGACACAAGGGGACACAATGTTTAGGCATTGTCATCTGATGGATGGTCTGTGCCACCCTAACTGGCTCTAGAGCTCATGCTTGCAGGTGGGTTTGGGACAAGCATGTCCCCAAGTCACCCAGCTGGAGGGAAAGCATGGAGACCCACCAGCCAAAATGCCGTGGATGGGATGGAGGATGTACAATGAATTCCAGTCCCCGTCCCCTCCGTCCCTGTCCCCTCCCTGCAGTTTTACAGGTCGCTGAATATCAAGGTGGCCCTGATTGGCCTGGAGGTGTGGACGGAGCGGGACCAGTGTGCCGTCACCAGCGATGCCAACGCCACACTCTGGGCTTTCCTGCAGTGGAAGAAAACTCTGAGGTCCCGCAAGAAGCACGACAATGCCCAGCTACTGACGTGAGCATCTCTATGGACATCTGGGGACATCAGGACAGGGGTCTCCCAACTCAACTGGGGGTTGCCAGACCACCCCTGGGGTGCTAACAGCCCCTCTGTTCTTTCTGGGCAGAGGGAAGACGTTCAGGGGGACAACGATCGGCATGGCCCCGCTGGAGGGGATGTGCAGCGCCGATAACTCCGGAGGTGTCAGTGTGGTAAGAGGGACATGGGGGTCCCCACTGCTCCTCCCAGGCTGGGGGACCCCATCACCACCCTGTCTTGCTGGGTTTCTTCATGGGCTTGGAGGAGCAGCCATCTGGGGTTGGTTGTGGGATGCAGCCTGAGGTTGAACGGTGATGCTGGTGCCCCTTAACCCCTCTGAGATGTTGGCCAAGTACTAAGGAGGGTGAGAAAGGGCTGGTTTCAGGGTCTCCTGCCCCATGTTCAACTAGCAGCAGCGTTGGAATCTCCTGTGTTGCTTCTGCCCCTCGTTGAACAGCCCCAACTTGTTCCCTGCTTGTGCTCCCTGGTTTTGTAGGATTGTCTCCACCCCAGATAATTCTTATCCTCCTCCTGATGGGATGATGGTGGCCCTGGTGACCTATGGTCCCTAGGCAGGGTGGTGGTGTGGGACACCAAGATTTCTGGTTTTTGGGATGTGCCTTCTAAGGCTCCATGTTTTCAGCAGTTGGCTCCAGCAAAAGAACTTCCCACCAGTCCCATGTGGGACTTTTAGGAGACCAAACCCCATGAATCCTCCTCCATCTCTCCCTCCCATGGGATCCAGTTGCAATGCTGGGGATGCTGTGGTCCCTCCATCACCCCCACCCCACGTCCTTCTGCGGGATCACCCCTCTCCATCGCTCCTGGCTGCTGTGCTGACATATTCCCCCATCCTGATGCAGGACCACTCGGAGCAGCCCATCGGAACAGCCGCCACAATAGCTCACGAAAGCCGCCAAATGGCCCACGAAATCGGCCACAATTTCGGCATGAGCCACGACAGTACGGGATGCTGCGTGGAGGCCACTCCGGAGCAGGGAGGCTGTGTCATGGCAGCGGCCACCGGGTAAGTGACAGTGGGGACGGGATGCGGTCCCCTAAGCCCCTCAGCAGGGTGGGGATGCTGTTTGCACTGGGTGGGCTAGGGACTGGGAAGGGGGTCCTGTCCTGCAGTGGGTGCAGTGGCCCATTGCAAAGGGGGACCTGGCTGGTTGTCATTGTCCCCGTTTGCCTGGACAGATCCCTGGAGCAAGCATCTCCTGGGACCCAGGAGCAGGAGGGGTTGGTGGGCTCCGAGGCGTATCAGCCCCATCCCGAAAGAGCCAGGGATGGAAGCAAATAGATGTTAGCTGCTAAGGAATCTGAGGGATTTTCCTGTGCTAACCCACACCTCAGAGCAGTGAAATTAAATTTTATTTTCAGACCAGAGGGCCGAGGGGTGGCCAGTCCCCAGTCATGCCACTGGGGACTCACGACACCGCAGGGGGGCTGCAGTGGGGTGAGCTTACATCCCTCACCCCAACCCCACTAAATCGGGATGTGGGATGCTCTGGTGTGGCAGTCATTAGCTTTTGTGCCCTCTGGCATTCCTCCAGAATTTTTTTTTCCTTTGCTTTTACCCTTTAATTTGGCCCAGAGCTGGATGAAATTCAGCTGCTTGGTGCCACTTTCCCTTCCAAGGTCCTTCTTTTGGCTTTTTCCAGCTCCTGACAATACAGTCATCCCAGATTTCCCTGCACTGGAGAAAAGCAGCTTTTATTCCCTGTTTTTTGAACCCACCCACTTTTCCCATTAATAAATATCAGCCAAAACCCACGATGGGCCGTCGGACTGACCCCACGGGGTTTAGTCTTTGCCTGGGGGAAAAGCACCAGCTTTCCAGGATGGAGACACTTGTGCACTTGCTTGTTTAGATGTGGAAAACCCAAATTATCCCTCCTCCACCCCCCGGAGCCGGATGCTCTGGTGCAAAGTGGTTGCAGATGCTGTAGCCCAGCTGTGCCCCTGCTCACCCCCTCAGGCAAAACTCTTCTTCCTTCTTATTTTTGCTGAAATATTTTTTCCCCACGTGGGCAGGAAACCCATTTTTGACTGTCTTCAGCCTTGTCCCTATTTGCACATCCACGTACCAGTTTATTGGGTGTATTTACTTGCTCACCCTCCCATAACTTGC